GCAGACACAGGTCTTGGGAAATCCCCAGAGTTCTCTGGTAGGAGTAAGGCACTTCTAAAATGTGCTTCTTAAGCACATTCCTCTCCCAGAGTTGATCATAGTAATATTCTCTTACAATCCCCAGGCAAGGTCAGAATTACTGCCCAAGGATTTTCTAAGAGGGAATCAGCCAACACTTCCAGACTGTCTTGCTGTAATTGCACCTTCCTTCCTAACAAAAATTTCTCCCCTTGAATCTCAGCCAGGCCATAGACCTCTTTAGGTGAAGTTTTTCTGCTTAAAGAGTAGAAGGCTAAAGTTTCAGAAGTGATTTTTAAATTTATATGATCTGACAGTATGGAACCTTATTTCAGTCTCTGTGGTGAAAAGATTTAATTTTCCCCTAACTTCCTCCTGTAACAAAGAGTTTTAATATGAATGTGTATTCTCTCTCTCTCTCTCTCTCTCTGCATCTCTCTCACAAGTATGATTATATATTCACATTACAGACAAGAAAACTGAGATTAAATGATTTTCCCAAGATCATATATCTATCTAATGGTTCAAAATAGCCAAACAAACAAACAAAAAAAACAACACTACAAATTCTAGTTTAATGTTTTTCCCAATGTACCATACTACTTACTATAATACCATCCTTAATCATTCTTTAAAATTTTATCACAAAAAATTGAGTTTATTATTATTTTTCAGACAGGGTCTCACTCTGTCACCTAGGCTGGAGTACAGTGGTGTGATCATGGCTCACTGCAGCCTTGAACTCCTAGGCTCAATAGATCTTCACACCTCAGCCTCCCAAGTAGCTGGGATTACAGGCACATGCCACCACATCTGGCTAATTTTGGTATATTTTGTAGAGAAGGGGTTTAATCACGTTGCCTAGGCTGTTCTAAAACTCCTGAGCTCAAGTGATCCACCTGCCTCGTCTTCCCAACCTGCTGGAATTACAGACATGAGCCACCATGCCTGGCCAAATACTGAGTTTCTTAATTTCCCCCAAACCCTCCCCACCTTGTGTCTCATGACTTTGTCTTTTTCTTCACAAGAACTTCGTATTTTCTGTTTCTAAAATATGAAATAAAAAATTATTTCAGTGGGATTTTCTGTACTATACAAAGGAGAAATTACAAGGCCATTAAAAGAACTATGAAGATTAAGATAATATATTTCTCTGAATATCATTTTAAAAATGAATTCAGGGCTGGGCAAGGAGGCTCATGCCTATAATCCCAACACTGTGGGAAGCTGAGGTGGGAGGATCAATTGAGCTCAGTTCACCAGCCTGGGAAACATGGCGAAACCCTGTCTCTACAACAACAAAAAAATACAAAAATTAGCTGGGCATGGTGCTGTGTGCTTGTAGTCTTAGCTACTTGGGGGGCTGAGGTGGGAGGACTGCTTGGGCCAGGAAGGCAGAGGTTGCAGTGAGCCAAGATTGAGCCAATGCCCTCCAGCCTGGGCAACAGAGTGAGAACCTGTCTCAAAAAAAAAAAACACAAATAGAATTCAGGACTGGGCGTGGTGGCTTATGCCTGTAATCCTAGCAGTTTGGGAGGCCAAGGCGGGAGGATCACTTGAGCCCAGGTGGTTCAGGCTGCAGTGAGCCATGACTGCGCCACTGCTCTCTGGCCTAGGTGACAGAGTGAGAACCCACCTCATTAAAAAAAAAAAAAAAAAAAAATTAGGAACTCTGAATTTGCTAAGAAATTCTAACAGGATAAGAGAGCCGGGTGTGGTGGCATGTGCCTGTAGTCCCAGCTACTTGGGAGGCTGAGGTGGGAGAATCACTTGAGCCTGGGAGGCGGAGGTTGAAGTCAGCTGAGATCCTGTTACTACGGTTCAGCCTGGGTGAAAAAAAAAAAAAAAAAAACACACAAAACAAAAAAACAAAACAAAAAACCCAGAAACAAAAAACAAAAACCCAAACCAAAAAAATTAAACTAAAATAGAGAAATAACTAATTGTATTATATTTGTAATTTAGTTCTTCTGCTCCCCCTTACTCCCAGCCCCAGTCCATGACATTTACTGTAAGGTTGCTATCTTACTACACTGTGAAGAGGACATTCTTAGGTGGTTGTCTATACTCCTGGGCTAGGGGGATATAGCCAACACCCCTTGCTGAC